CTATTAGGCTGTTTTCTATCTCCATAACAAATACAAGGCTGGGTACTTTATTCAGCTCACAATTTTGAAAGCTGAAAGTCCAAGATTGGGCAGCCCCATCTATTCAGCCTCTGGTAGATGGCTTCAAAATGGCTGCTGTAGCTTTCTCACAGCATTGTATCTAGGCTGTAAAGGTTCAAATCCCAGAAGAACAGGTGGAAATGCATGGCACTTTTAATGATCTCACCTTGGAGGCCATATAACATCACTTACACTGTATGGATGGAGTGTTTTGTTTGAGGCAGTTACATACGCCCTTCCAGGTTTAAGGGCAGAGAACATTGATTCTACCTTCTTTGGTGGAGTTTTAGAGGAACATGGGGAACAAGAAATACTGTTTTGGCCATGTTTGGAATACACAATCTGTTGTTTTATTATATCCCAAGAGCTTAGAATGGTGCCTTGCCTTGTAGAGTTTTTGTTTGTTTTAGTTCAAATCAGTTATATATAACAGTAGAAACTCTTTCATTCATTGTCACACAAATGGAGCAGAATTTTTCACTTCTCTGATTGTGCATTAAGTAGGGTCACACCATTCGTACAGTCATACATGTACTTAGGGTAATGATGTCTGTCTCTTTCCACTGTCTTTCCTACCTCTTTGCCACCTCCGCCCCACCACCCTGCCCCATTGTAGAGCTTTGTAAATGCCTGATGAATGAATGAATGAATGAATGAATGAAGTGAGTTTATTAGAAGAGGAGTATAACATATGACCAGTTTGTTAGGATATTGCCTCAGTATTCTAAGCTTGACTTGAGTAGAAATGGAAAGGAAAGACTGATTTGGAGATACCTAGGAAGTACAGATTGCAAAATTTAGTGACCATTTAAATATGGAAATAAAGTAGGGGAATCTGGGTTGAGAAGGGGAGAAGTCTAGAATCTCAATCTAGCAATCTAGAATGACTTACAGTCAGTCAAAGAGACCAGCTCTGTGCTAAAGCAAATATCATAAATAGGAGCAACTGGAGAGGCTGAAGCAGGAGGATCTCAAGTTCAAAGCCAGCCTCTGCAACTTAGTGAGAACTTGTCTCAAAAAATAGGAAGAGCTTGGGATGAGCACTCTGGGTTCAACCCCCAGTACCACAATAATAAATACATATGTACATTGATACATAAAAGTAAATTTTTAAAAATTGTGAGTATGAATCCCTTCTTGATAAAATTATTTTTAGTGTTAAATTAATCCCTGAAAGGGCTGAATAAATAGGTGGAAATACTTAGATGATTTCATGAACTGTGACACTGTTAACAGAGCAAAAGCTTTGAGAGAAAAGATCAGCTCAGTTTTGGAAGCACTGAAATTGAGGTTTTTGGTGCTAAGCCAGCCAAGTGAGATCCTTGAACTCAAGGCTGGAGAGCATGCTCTTAAAGATTTTCTTTAGTGTTTTTCTGGTGGAAGGAGAAAGGACAACTTTGTTTTCCCTTACAAAAGAGGAAATTTTTGCTTCTTTCAGTTCATTTTTATCCTTTTTGGTTGTTCTATTTATATTCATTTTGAAATGTAATTAAAATGACCTTTTTTCCTCCACCAAAAGTGACTTGGCTTTTTTCTTTTTTCTTTTTTTTTGGTACTGGGCAGTGAGCCTAAGGGTGTATCCCCAACCTTTTTATATTTTTTGTTTTGAGACAGAGTCTCACTAAGTTGTTTAGGGCCAAGCTGAATTGCTAAGGCTGGCCTTGAATTTCCAATCCTCCTGTCACAGCCTCCCTGATTGCTGGGATTACAGGCATGACCTACTACACCCTGCTCTTTTTTCTTTTTTAATGTTACACAGTAGCTTTGGAAATCCTAGTCTCTTTATAGAATTGGCAAGGTCTTAGTCACATAGATCCCTTTGTATTCTTCCTAATGTATGAGGAGCATGATTTCATATGTTGGTGTGTAGTACCTTAGTACCATTAAAACCTGAATCTTAGCTATCACTGAGCATGTTAGGAAAGGTCCTTGAAGATCTTTGGATAAAAGAACACACTGATGGCAGAGAAACTCTTGAGACCTTTCTTTTCTTTGTTTTTTTTTAAGCAATTTTTTTAATATTTAGTTTTTAGTTGTAGTTGGACACCATACCTTTATTTTATTTACTTTTATGCTGAGGATTGAACCCAGGGCCGCGCACGTGCCAGGTGAGTGCTCTACTGCTGAGCCACAACCCCAGCCAGAGACCTTTTCTACTTAGCAAAAATCACATGAACTGAGCCATTCTGGCTTCTGACCACTTCAGATAATCATCGGGATATTATTACTTAACATTTTATTCTTAACGGAAAGAGAATTTCCCAGTGAATCTTGTTACTGACATTTCTTAACAGTTTTTCAGCGTTAGAATAACTTAATAGACCATGAAGCAAGATGTAATGTTTCACTAACCCCCATCCCCATCTTGTTATTCATATCTTTAATTTAAAGAACTTTGAGCCAGGCATGATTACTCAAATCTCAGTGACTTGGGAGACTGAGGCAAGAGGATTGCAAATTTGAGACCAATCTCAGCAACTTAATGAAACCCTGTCTCAAATAAAAAGTAAAAAGTGCTGGGAATGTAGCTCAGTGGTAGAGTACCACTGGGTTCAATGTGGAGTACCAAAAAAAAAAAAAAAGAGAGAGAGAGAGAAACTTTGTTGATTCTTACATACTATTTTTTTCTTCCAAAGAGGGGAAGAGGAAGAAAGCAGTATTCCATATAAGTTGATCGATACCCTGTATAACCTAAACTGAACTGCTCATGCTTTTGACTCCTTATAAAATTTTAGAAAGAGATTTTGACAACAAAAATTAGTTAATAGAAATGGAAGAAAAGGTCTACCTTTAGCTCTGAGCAGACAACTACTTCTTTGAGTTATGTAGCAGAAAAGTTTCAGTATGAATCATCTTAGAACAGCTCTGTAGGGTTGTCACTATAAATATTTTAATGGTAAGTGACTTTCTTTTGTTCCTGAAGGCAAAGTATTGTTCTCTTGGATGTTTCTTTAGCACAGAATGCATTAATTAGAAATAGGGGCAGATTGGCCTTATATTGTATGATAAAATACAACATGAGTACTAATATTAATATGGTCTCCCAGAAATATATTGAATAAATGATTCTCGTAGAAGGTAGATATCTAATAATAATTATGTGTTCTTATTGTAATAGAAAAAAGTCTATATTGGATATATGAGAAAACTTTTGCTCAGAAATTATGATTGGATATAGGCTATTAGATTAGCATATTTATTCAAAATTAGAATCTTGTTTTCTAGGCTGTGCTTATTATTTGAAAATCACTTCAATATTCTTTGAATAATAAAAATGACACTTGTAATCCCAGCTACTTGGGAGGTCCAGGTAAGAGGATCACCCAAGTTCAAAGCCAGCCTGGGCAACTTAGGAGACCCTAAAAATTGTTCCAAAATAAAAAGGGTTAGGGTTGTAGCTCATAGGTAAAATGCCCCTGTGTTCAATCCCCAGTACTAATAAAATATGAAAATTTTTAAATAATAAATATAATTTACAAGTATTGTTGAACATATAGTACTAAACCTAAAAAAATGCATACTTTCATTATATCAGGTATAATAATGACTTTTTTTTTGAGAGAGAGAGAGAAAAATGAATCTTTTTTTTTTTTTTTTTTTTTATAGATGGACACAACACAATATGTTTATTTTTATGTGGTGCTGAGAATTGAACCCGGGTCCCACCCGTGCTAAGTGAGCGCTGTACCGCTGAGCCACAATCCCAGCCCACAATAATGACTTTTTAAAAGTTTTCTTGTTTCATATTTTATTACAAAAGGAATAATTTGATTAACATGGGCTGGAGCAAAGACTTCTTTATTCTACAGTATCAGAGAACTCTAGATCGTGGATTCATTGCTAAAGTTATTTTTGCAAGTAAATAATCTGTTGTATTCTATTCTTGATGCCAGGATGTATAGTTGCCTAACACTGCTGCCGTATATTAAAGGCATGCCTATCACACCTGACTTTGGAATATAATTTTTCAAATATACTTGTTTTTCTTGAGAATTTTTAAATAAACAAAAATATTGAGAAAATAGTTAGTTCCTTAGTTTTTAACCTAATATCCCTTTTCTCTTGGAAGATCCCATCCAGTATGCCACATTATATTCAGTCATTGTGTCTCTTGGGATTCCTCTTAACTAAACACTTTCTCAGACTTTTGTTGTTTTTGATATCTTTGACAGTTTTGATGAGTACATATCAGGTATATTATAAGTTATTTCTTTTAGAATTTGATGTTTTAGTTATGGTTAGATTGGGGTTATAGGATTATATTATTTTAAAGCTATGTTTATCCTTAGGAGAATTGACAAACTGTCTTCCAAAGTGGCTGTACCGTTTTGCATTCCCACTAACAATAAGAGAGTTTGTCGTTTCACAACCTTGTCAGCATTTGGTATTGTCGGTTTTTTGGACCTCAGCCATTCTAGGTATGCAGTGGTTGGAATACAATTTTAAAATTGACCATTTTGTCTTACTATTATTATATCTCACTATAGAAGCATTAGCTTTCTTCTCTTGATATTTCTCTTGAAATTAGTCTGTTTTTTTTAACCTTTATTTTATATATTTTTATTTTTATGTGGTGCCAGGGATCAAACCCAGTGCCTGACGCATGCTAGGCAAGCATTCTACCACTGAGCCACAATCCCTGCCCTTGAAATTAGTCTTTGGAGAGGATGTGTGTGGTTTTTCCCCATACAAATAATTGTTACTGGTATTTAAATGTCCTTTCACTATTAGGTTAAAATTGCCTGTTCTCTTTTGCTTTCCTATCACTAATAGCTTATAAGCTACATTCTACTGGTGTTAAGCTGTACTTTTTTGATGTTAATGTCTTGTTTAATTGTTTTTGTTTAATTTTTTATTCTCATTTTCCATTCTTCAAAGTCAGTTTTGCTTTTTTGTTTTTCTTTGTTCATAAAGCTTTTTGTTTCTGTTACATTATGTAGTTTTGTACCAATGGCTAGAAGCAGATCGTCATAGCAAGAGCCAAGAAGCTACAAATACGACTTCAGGTAAAAATAATAGTTAAAAAAAAAGGGTGGGTTACTAGAAATCTTTATTGTAATTTACCCCAAGCCCATTATAAGCATTTCCTTATTTAGTTTTGTTTGGAGAGATCATCTAAAGATCATCTTATTTTGTATTCTGTTCTCTTGTCTGCGTCTTAATTTTCATAAAGACCTCATTTGCTTCAGGCCTTGAAAAAATGTATTCACTAGTCTTTAAGCTGTCTTGGCATATATTTCCTACTTTCTTAGGAGAGAAGGCTTAATTGCATCTTAAATTTAGTTGATTATTTAGTAATACTACTCAATCTATATATAATTATGGCAAGGATATTATTAATATGTAAGCTCATTTTTTGGAGTGTTTTTGGCAAGTCAGTCGCCAAGATTGAACCCAGGTACCCTCAAGAATATTACTATTGCTACAAATTTATAATTCTTGTTTGTTTAAGTATAATTTTTAAAAGATAAACTTTAGCTTAACTGAAGGATATTTATATATAATTCCATTTCCTGGGAATCCAGATTTTCAGACCTAGTCATTTTTTCTGTTTAGTCCTAGCAGTGAATTCGAAGTTAGTTTTATAAAACATACATTCAAAATGTGAAGAGTAGGTTGTTCTTCCTAGATATTCTTCTCTGGCTGGTACTGCATCCACTCATTTCTGAATCCCTAACAGTGATATTAGAATTTCAGAAAAGTTTATTCTTTCCCTCATTTCCTTCAAAATAATATTTGCCAAGACCGCTGTATATTTAAGAATGATCTTTCCTATTGCTCCCTCTTTAATGGTGTTAAGAGGTGGTGATGGTGGTAGAGGTGGTGATGGTGGTAGAGATAGTGGTGGTGGCAGTGGTTTTGTTTTCTTATACTTGAGTTACTGTTTTGTGTATTTTATGTTTTTATAATTTTGGAGGTAATCTCTTGTTGCTTCGATGATCCTCAAGAAGTTGTAGCATTAGGTAATAGAACAATTATATTGAGAATGCACTTTTATGATTTTTCTGATATATCTTCTGTCCCATTATTAACTTGATATATGAATAAAGATAACATCACTATTTTTACCAAAAACAGGCAGGAAATCATTAAAAGGTAAGTGTTGCAAGGACTTATATCCTGGATTATGTGCTCTTTCTACCACTGTTATAGTGTTTCATATTTTACTAAAATTTATGGATGATAAAATCAAGCATTTCTGGTCTGTGATGGTGGGCATAGGAAAGGGTTTCTTATGACTCTATGTTATCTCAAAATATGCTTGTTGCGGCATCAGTAGCACAGTCAGCAGCATAGTTTTTTTAGAATCAGAAGGGAATTTTTGTTTTATTTTGCTTTTTCTTAGCCCTAAAGTAAAGTAAATTTTGTGTTCACATTAAAATTTTATATCAGCTTAAGGACATCATTTACCCTGAAGTCAACAGTTCTGAACTTTGACTTTGGTTCTGAACTTTTAGCTACATTGACTGATGGATAGTTTCCCATGTCTCCATTGACTTTTTGGTATTTATATAACCTTGGATCATGGTGCAAAAATTGATGAACTCTTCTTAGGGGTTTCTGTTCTTTAACAGTTTCTCTTCTGGAGGTGAAAGCTCTCTACTCTTAGAAACTGAAGTGTGGAATGGAAAGATGTAGGGATGTAGTACTTGCCTAAATCAGAGAAATCCAAAGGAAAATGATCATTAACCAAATACTTCAATTAGAAACAGTACTTTAGGGCTGTGGTTTGGCTCAGAGTAAGAGCACTCGCCTAATATGTGTGAGGCACTGGGTTCGATCCTCAGCACCACATAAAAATAAAATGAAGATATTGTATCCACCTAAAACTAAAGTAAATAAATAAATATTTTTGAAAAAGAAACAGCACTTTAATTGCCTCTGTAAATACATTTAAATTATGTGCCCTTATTCATAAAAGCTCCTATGTATTTCATATTGCAGTCTCCAACAAGATTTTATAGTGTGACTTTTCCCTCCTTCTGTGATCTGTTAAGTTTTGCACTCAAAGGTGTTTTAATAACTATTCATATTTTTACCCAAAATGGAAATTGAGTCACAAGATGTCAGAGTATGACTTGTAATTCAGATTGCCTAGTGATATTTTTAATTATGCAAATACTGGTAAATGGCATTTATATTTTGCTATAACAGCTAGTATTTTGCACTTAATTAGAACTTTGAAAGTAGAAAAACACAGGAGACAGGAAGAAATTGCTTCAAGTTTCTAATTCCTTGATCTCAACTTTTTGACATTGGAAATTTAAGATCCATTCATCTTAAAACATTTTATGAAACTAAGGCATTTGGGAATAACAGGTCTTATGGGAATTAATTTAGTCAAGGAGATAAAGAACTGATATGACAGCTGTTATTGAATTTTTTACATAAAATATAGTCTAATCTTTGCAGAATTTTATCAGGTGATGAATTTAACTTAGAATAGTTCATTGTTTAAAAAAGGTTAATGTGTTTAATGTGTTCTGTCCACTAAATTAGATAACTCAATAATAATGTTTCTTTTTTTTTTTTTTTTTTCTTTAAACTCCCTATGGTAGTTGGGGAATCAGAACTTCACAGTTGCTAAGCAAGCATGGTACCATTGCTCTGCATCCCCAGCCCCTTTTAGCAGTGATGTTTCTAATTTTGTATTAAGGAAAAGAGTGTCCAACTGAAGCAATAGAAAAATATATAAGACTCTTAGGTTTTATATTACCTAAGAGTCTATATATAAAATCACATATATTAGAGAGGGTTTTTTGTTTGTTTGTTTGTTTTAGAAATTCAAACAAAATTGCCTCCTGTGTGCACTGTAACATTGGGTCTATCTGTGTATGAATATATAGATATAGATCATAAGAAATAAGATTAGCTTAAATCAGGATGTTTCTTTAGTAAATTAAATGTTTCCATATAAGAGATTTATATTATCATATATTGAAATGAATGCAATGATTATATTATAGCAGAGATTATTTTTACACTTGATTTTTAGTATTAATTGTAAAACTACTGTTTTTAAAATTCAGATTCTGACATTTCTGCATTTCTGTTTTTTTGATGCTGGGAATTGAACCCAAGAGCACTTAATCATTGCCCCTTTTTGTATTTTATTAGAGACAGGATCTTGCTGAGTTGCTTAAGGCCTTGCTAAGTTGCTGAGGCTGGCTTTGAACTCGAAATCCTGATGCCTCACAGATTCTAAAGTTTTAAATTCAGTTCTCTTATTAACAATTTGCCAGTTATCCAGTGGGAATTTTACAACTCAGATTATTGGAAGTAGAACTCGAATCACATTTCAACATTATAAGTAAATACTCTACAAAATAAATATAAAACTATAATGTGATTTGGAAAAGGTTCTAGATATTAACCAATTATTAATTATTTGTTTTAGGTGAAAATTTTGACCAGAGTCCTTTGAGAAGAACATTCAAATCCAAAGTTCTGGCCCACTACCCTCAGAATATAGAATGGAATCCCTTTGATCAAGATGCAGTGAATATGGTATGTTCCCCCCACCTTCATTCTCTCTTCAGCCTTCCTTTTATTTTACTAAATGGCAATAATGACTATATTTTGAATGTCTATGTTATTTCATTTAATTATCTTTCATACTTTATAGATTTGGAAACTGAAGTACAGAGAAGTTACTTGCCCAGGATTCTCACATCTAACAAGTTTATACAACAGACCCCCAAAGCCCATTTTTAAGCTATGTTGTAGGTTTGTACTAATACAGAGATGCCTTGATAAACACTGAAATTACTCTGTTTGCCTGATAGAAGAAACATGGTTTCAGTTTTTATGTTTTAAGAAATGTTGTGTGGAGGGCCTATCATTTGTCATTTTCACAGACAACATGAAGATGGCAAGGAACTTAAATACTTCGTTTAGACATGAGTATGAATTTGTTATAAAGAATGGTAATCAATATAAGTTAACCAGAGGTGATTAAAAGTTTCCTTTAGAGATTCTTAAAAATAAAGTAGGTCATAGTTTTCTGATCACTTTAGGAAGAGTCCTTCTTAGAAGCCTGGATACTATTTTGAACCTCTATCAACTCTGTGATTACATAATTCAAGAGGCCCCAAACTGAGCAAATGAGACATCAGTCTTGATAGACACAGAAAAGATTAATGATGAACTGAGACGCTATGATAGGTATAGTTCTTTTTGAGAATTTAAAAAGAGAACTGGAAGACATAAAAAAAATCCCATTATGATCTGATACTTTTGGAAAAGAAAATTAATATTTAGTAGATGCCTGCCAGGTACTTCAAGGTGTGTTATTTTCACATACATGTTTACATGTACCCAGTGAATTCTTGTTCACATTTTATGGAGATTAAGTAACTTGCCCAAAGTCATGCAGTGAATATTTGAGGCCAACCCCTGAACATTTTTACTTTCTAGCTTACTTTTTTCCCCACTCCCCTGCTGCTTTCTCTAGAGAAAAACTATGTTTTGGTTTGCATCAGAAATGGTATGGGGTACATTTAACCCTTGGTAATATCACAGTAAAAACTTTGCAGTCTGAGGTTGCTCCAGGAAAGGGAAAGGAAAAGCATGGTGCTTTTTGTAAGAACTGATGCCTAAAGCACTTAGCACTTCAATTTTGATTCTTTACAGCAAAATGTATTTCCCCAAACTTATCCAATACTAAAATAACCGGAGTTGACATTTTGTTGGAAATGAATACTGTGAATGCTTAGTTTTATCTTTGGCGAAAAGAGTATATAGATAGTGGGTAGAGCACAATCATTAGTTATCTTTGGGAGACTTAGAGGACTCTGACTAAATAGATAACAGACAGCAGTGGCAAAAATAATTTATCAGCTGCCTACACCAGCAAATTAATAGAGAGGTATTAAGGAAAAGAGTGTCCAACTGAAGCAATAGAAAAATATATAAGAATGTGAATAGAGGTTAGAACTTAATCTTCTTAATTTAGTAAGATATTTCAAAGTATAAATTATTTTGTGAGAAATCAGAATAATGTCCAAAAGTAGGCTCTTCCTACAGTATTAATCTGTAGTCATTTGAACAAAAAGCCACAGTTGGTGTATTTTCTCTTAGTCAATTAAATGAATGAATAGATGTCCATGGGTAGCTTTTGTTTTTGTCTGAAAAGCATTCATCTTTAAAGCAGTTATCAAATTCTTTGATTGTCTTTGGTATTTTTTTAACCTCTTGTTTCTGAGGTTGTTTTATAAAAGGAACAAACATTTTCCTCTAAAAAAATAAATGAAAAGACTGTGTTTTGATGGTTAAATACCACATGGCATTTTTTTTTTTTTAACTACAAATCTAAAAGGATTTGCTTGTACTCCTGGAAAATCTTCAAAAGCATCCCATTAAACCAGTTTGTGTTTGAGTTATAGATTTATTGCCCTTAATTTTGTCTTTGATTTATTAGTAAGTGCATTTGTATTAAGCTATAATTTATTCTTGCCTAAAGTTATAAAGCTTTATCTTGCCTTTAGCAAAATCCCACTCCAAGTTATTGCCTTCTGTATATTAGTCATTCCTCTTTTAAGTAACAGTGGTGATTTTCATAGAGGTCATTAATTTCACAAATAAATTAAGAATACAAAGCAATGAACTTGGTTATATAAAAAATTCCATATGTTTGAGTAGAGTGCAAATATAATACAAAATAAATATGTGACAGGTGAAATTGTTTCTAAATTAATTGCTTTTTATGTCTTGGTTGCCAGTTCAGAGATTTTTATGAAAAAATTATTTGAAGTATCGTAAAACAGAACAGTACAACCAACGTTCATATACTCAATACATAGTATTAACCCATATCAACATTGACATGTTCACTTTAGCTTTACTTGTTGTTTTAAATGGAACTAAGCATTGCAGAACAGAGCCAAAATTCTTCCACTGTCTCCCACCAGTCCCATTTTCAGCTCTCTTTGAGGTAACCTGAATATTGGCATCTATGACTATTCATATAATGTTCTAGTAGATAGATCTTATTCTTAATAAGAATGCATGGTACCTAGGAATTTTTAGGAAGAAGAAATGATCACTATCTTTTTAAGCAAGTTATATGAAATATAAATATTCCATTTTATATATCTGTCCTAAACAAAATAATCTGACAAATGATGTTTTAATTAAAAGTGTAATAACTACTATAAAGTTCTTTGCAATCTATAAAGCTGTAAGTTTGCAGTTTACTTTGATCACAAAGAAAGATAGAGTAGAATGATGAGCAAAGAGTAAAAGGTAAAATGTTGGCAGAAGACAACTATTCAGATGTCCATCTTGCAACATTCAGAGCAAAAGGGGAGATACTTGTTACATACTTTTTATATACTAAACAAGTATTTAAATTTGAAATGGATAACCGAAAATGGCACTCAGAGGTTTGATATTATAATGAAAGTAAGGCTTTGTTTTGACTCATTTAAGTTTATGCCTTACTGTAAAATCATAGGATTGGGACTAATTCAGCCGTTGCTCATGGGCCCCACCTGTTTTCTTTAACCTTTTAGCTAGAATATTTCACTGGCATCTCAAGCTTAGCATGTCTAAAATTGAATTCACAGTCCTTCCCATTAATCTTGGACAGTGAATGGTACAGCCATCCACCTAGTTGCCTAAGCCAAAATCTGAAGGTTGTCCTTGAAAATTCTTTTTCTCCCTCTCCCCTATATAATTAATTATTTATCTGCTTCCTCTGTTTCCACACACCCACCTTAGCCCAAACTACCAAGATGGCTTACCTGGACTCCTACAGTCAAACTGGTCTTCTGCTCCTATCCATCCCATTCTTTTTTTTTTTTTTTAAGATAAGAAGTACTTATGCTTTTTTTTTTTTTTTTAAGAGAGAGAGAGAGAGAATTTTTTAATATTTATTTTTCAGTTTTCAGTGGACACAACATCTTTATTTTATTTTTATTTGGTGCTGAGGATAGAACCCAGGGCCCCACGCATGCCAGGCGAGCACGTTACTGCTTGAGCCAAATCCCCAGCCCCATCCCATTCTTCACACTATCACTCTTATTTATGCTGATGTTTTTCTTCTTCTACTTCTCCTTTACCTAGTGAATTCTAATTGATCTTTAAGATTTCATTTTAAACATGTCCTTAGAGAAGCCATTCCTTTCCACTGCCCTCTTAACTTTCTAACAGGTCTCTTGGTACATTGCACCTTTTTGTAGCACTTGTCCTAGTTACAATTAAATAATTAATTACGTAACTAATTATGTAGATGCCTCTATATTTCCTGCAATAATGTAAGTACCACTAGGACAGACACAGTTTCTCTTATTCCTTGCTAGGTCCCTAGCTTTGCACAAATCATTGAATGCTCAAATCATTTATTAAATGAAGAAATGCTTGCTTGTTTATTTTTTTAATTTTTTTTATATTTATTTTTTAGTTATCGGCAGATACAACATCTTTGTTTTGTATGTGGTGCTGAGGATCGAACCCGGGCCGCCTGCATGCCAGGCGAGCGCGCTACCGCTTGAGCCACATCCCCAGCCCGAGCTGCTTGTTTATAATACTTCTGTTTCTTATTCTTGTCTGTTCAGGTGCAAAATCATCTCTTAAGCAGTAGTAGTTAGGTACTTTTTCTTCTCCCTGTAACATCTTGAACACACTCCACTGTAGCACTGATCATAATGTTTTGTAATTGTTGGTTTATATGTCTGTTTTTCCTACTAGAATGTGAGCTCTCTGAAGGAAGGGATTATTTTTATGGCTTCTTTAATTAGTTGCCAAAGTCGGCGTAATGCATGGAATAAAATAAATGTTTATTAAAAGAGGGAAAGAGAGAAGAGACAAAAGGAAAGGAGGGGGAGGGATAAAGGAAGGCAAACTGACCAGCTCTTCTGAATAATTTTTTTTAATTTGAATAATGAGGGAGAGGCCATGGAGCCTGAGAACTGTAGAATATGGAAAAGTGAATTTTAAAACTCTGGCCAACAATAAAAGAGGGGGAAAAAAAAGGAAAATGGAAAAAGAATAAATAAATAATTAATTTTAAAAATTCTAGCCAAACTGCCTAAAAGGGTCCAGAGAGATGAAGATATTTGTTCACTCTAACTGGGACAGGTTCAGACAGCATTGTTATCATCTTTTGGCTAAAGTAATTTAGTTAAATGTGGCAATCTGGTCATAATATTACAACTCTAATTTTTAGTTATTTTATTGTGGAAAGGTGAGATGAGATATTATTAGTAATAGCAATATTAAGGGATAACAATAGAGTATTAAAATACAATGGTAGGTTCTGGTACATACCTGAAATCCCAGCTGTTCGAGAGACTAAGGCAAGAGGATTGCAAGTTTGAGGACAGCCATAGGAACTGGGAAAGCAGCTGGGCATGGTGGCATATGCCTGTAATCCCCGTGACTTGGATGGCTGAGATAGGAGAATTGCAAGTTCAAGCCCCGTTGCAGTATCTTAGCAAGGCCTAAGCAACTTAATGAGACCCTGTCTCAAAATATAAAATGAAAAGGACAAGGGATGTAGCTCAGTG